AGGCCAATGACGTCCCGTGCATAGCCAGGTTTTCCTGCGCGGGGAGGATGATGGCCGGCTTCTAGTGGAGAGTCGTGGCATTTCAAGAACGGTGAGACCGCCAGTGCATGGTGCAACAGGGTCGGCGGCTTCATTTCCCGCATCCAAACATCTGCATTTGCCTGCCGTTGGAGATGGTTCTGGGGATACCAGATTGATCCTCGGAGCGAAACCTCACCTGTATTATTTATCTATTCATCTAAACTACGCGGCCGACACATGACGTCGCCGAAATACCGCCCCCGTCGGCGTGCCGGCCTCGCTCAGGACCCGGACGAGGAGCTGGAGGGCACCAGGAGGAGAACAAGGCATTTGGCGCGGCGGTGCGGCGCCACGGGGCTGTTGGTTGACGAATCAATGGCCCGGCAGATCCGCCGGCGGAGGGATTGGAGCTCTAGACGCACATATGTCGAGCAGCTGTACCGATACGAAGAGCATACCTGAGGGAAGGGCTGTCTAAGCTGCCTGAGCTGTCGCAGCAGCAACAGGCGGAACAGCAGACGAGGCTTTCGATTGGCCGGGAGGAAGTGCTCCTGGCTCGGAAATGAATTAGCTAGGAGGGCAAAATGGACGAGTTGGCGGGCGTTGGGCCTTACGGTCGGGGGTAAGAGACAGGGAGAAGGCTTGTTTTATGAACCTTGGCGGTCGGTGACGCTGGGCTGGGATCGTCGTTATTGGGAGGTTTATGGATGAATGGATGGAGAGGGATCCACGATATCATTGAGCAAGAGTGATCCACGATGACGGTTGGCAAGGGAGGAGGAGTGTGTAGCTAGAGTGGTGACCAGGTCCAGGTCCAGGTCTGAGATCAGCGGCATGGGTTTGGGACGATACTGGCTTGGTTGGCTACACGATGCTTGCCTACGTGTATACCACATACTATTATGTATCATGGACGTATGTAGGTACACGCGTGCCGCCGCAATGGGTCTCGGCTGTGGATATATTGGGGTTTCTTTGGCAGTTTCATATGGTGGATAAGCAGCATGGGGTTATGGGAAAGGGTGCTATGAATGTACGTTAAGAGACGAATTGAATGCCCAAGGCTGGCTGGCCCATTGGCCAACGAACGGTGATATTATGCCCAGTGACAAGGTTGAAGCCGCGGAAGCTGAGAAGGTCGGAGGGTCGGAGGGGGTGTGGATAATGAGGGGACGTTATTAATATGAATTGGTTTAGTCGAGACGACTGGAACAGACAGCCGGTGAAGATGGTCCCAGAGAGGGGGCTCGGGCGGGCAATAGTCTGTAGTCAAGCGAGAGCGTGCCCAATCATGGATCTACTGCTGGCTCTGGAGTCTGTGGCGGAGATTAGCATTGGCGTTATGGACAAGGTCATGGGTGAGAGAACAAACTAATGAAAAGATGGAGATGAGGCTGCATGTGTGATCGACCGGCCGCACGCACGTACATGCCTAGCACGTACATGCGCATTGGCAGGAGGCCAGGACGGACGTCGGTTGGCGGGATACCGGCTGCAGCTCATATAAGCTACGAGCTAATGGGATGCCATCAGGTAACACCATCAGGATGGGCAATCAAAATACGAGTGTGTATCCATCGCCCTCGCCCTCATCCCCAATCAAGGCAGTGAGATGAATGGGGAAATTGAGGGCGGGGCAGCGCCTGGACCTGGGAGAAGCCCCGCTCCATCGAGAGTGATTTGCACCACTCATTCGCACTCGCACAGTGAGGCTCTCTCTCAACTCTCCCATCCCCTCCCCTCCCCTCACGCTGTCGCCACTCGTCTGTCGAACCTGCTGGGACCAGCCTCCGATCGCAAGGGACCACCAGCCAGAGCTTGCCCAGTACTGGCTAGCCACCAGATCTAGCACCACCGACTACGACTTGGGGCCTGATATTAGCCCACCACGGTATCTTCCTCGACAGCCCCGTCCAGCTACATAAGGCAGCGAGCCCAGATCGTCGGTCTAGACTTAGACTGCACGCCGTGCCTCGACCTCACCCCGTCACGTACATATCACCGCAGTCAGCAGACCACCCGGTCAGGCCATCCGCTGCATCTCCCCTCCGTCCATCATGGCTCCCATTGGTGTGGCCATCATAGGCAGCGGCATCTTCGTCAAGGAGGAGCATCTCGTGCGTCTGACCCGCCCCCGCAACTAGTCTGATCCATCCACCGTCCATCTACCCATGTCCCTGATCCCCCTTTGCAGCCGTCAGCTATAGTCTACCACTACGTCTTACTTGGACGTAGATAGCAGCTACGCGGATATTGCAACACCAGCCGCTCCGTATCACTCGCGTACTAGATCCACTGACCTGACATCCACATGCTCCTAGCCTGCTGTGTTCAAGTGCGCCGATCTGTCTCTCAAAGCAATCTTCTCGCGGTCCCTGAGTTCAGCTCAGAAGACGGCGGAACTGGTCCCTGAGGGCCAGCCCAAGCCCCAACTGTACGCGGCTGACGCTGGCTCTGGCAAGGAGTACCAGGATCTTCTCAGCCAGCAGGATATCCAGGCCGTCATCATTGCACTTCCCATTCTGACCCAGCCCGAGTATATCAAGACTGCATTAGCAGCGGGGAAGCATGTCTTGGCGGAGAAGCCAATAGCGGCAGACGTTGCTGGTGCTCGGGACCTCATCGACTACTACACCAAGGTGGCACCAGAGAAGAACGTGACCCTCTCCATCGCTGAGAATGTGCGGTTCAAGCCCGCCTTGTCCTACGCCAATGAGCAGGCCCGTAAGCTAGGTCGAGCAACCCACTTCAGCATCAGGGTCTTCTCTCACATGAAGACCGACAGCATGTGGTACAACACTGAGTGGCGCAAGACCCCCGGATACCAGGGCGGCTTCCTCCTGGATGGGGGCGTGCACCATGCGGCCTCGTCGCGGCTCTTCCTGTCTGGGGACGCCAACAAACCAGACTCGGTGCGGGCCTTTACCGACCTGGTGCAGAGCCACCTGCCCCCCATCGACACGGTGAATGCCATTATACAGACAAAGTCCGGGGCAAGCGGCACCTTCCAGCAGTCGGCGGGGACGCACCTCCAGGCGTATGAGTGGCGGTTTGCTTATGAGAATGGCACTGTCGAACTGGTTGGTGACACAGTCATTGTGACACCTGTCAACGGGGAAAAGATTACGAACGAGTTCGCACGCACCAGCGGTGTGTCCGAGGAGGTTGCGGCGTGGGCGCAGAGTCTCATTGAGGGGAAGCAGAACCCGTTGCAGTCGCCCGAGGAGGCTCTTGCGGATCTTGAATTCATGGAGAGTATGTTCCGTAGCGGGGAGGAGAAGGGGTCAGAGAAGCGGTACGAGTTTCAGTGATCTTGGCAGCTGGCTTTGGCATCAATCCATCCAACGAATTCACACCCATGATGATAGGTGATTCTCAGGAGCCAATGGCAATTAGGCAGGGCAACTAGCGTGAGACGAACATGGCCCAAGTCTTGAAATAGAGTAATATTGTAACAGGAAAAGGCGGTAGTCACAACGCTGACCGCCCTTATTGGGCTGTCCTCCCACGAGCTCATCTTACTTGAATTAGAGCTTGCTTGATTCGACCCCAACGTAGATCTTCTGCAGGCCCTCCCTAAGTTGGTCATTCATGCCTGTTTTGGCCGGCCTGGCTGTGGCTCGCTCGACGAAGACGTGGACAAACTCGCCCACGGCCTTGACGCCGTCCACCCCCTTCTCGAAGACACCTACCTCGTAGGTCACGCTGGACTTCCCGAGCTTGTTGACGCGGAGGGCCAGTTCGGCGACGGCTGGGTAAGCAAGGGAGGCAAAGAAGTCTGTGTGCAGGTGGGCCGCCAGTGGATGTTGTTCCGACTTTGATGGATTAAGGCCACAGAACTTTAGCAGGTAGTCGTTGACGATGGAGTCGATTCTTCCCAAGTCTGGGTGTTAGTGTATTTCATGCAAGGGTGTTTCAGCGTGGCAAGTAGAGGTCCTCTGCTAAGAGATCTGTCACATCACTCACAGGAAGTTGTAGACCGAGTTGTTCATGTGATGGTACATGTCGTTGTCATTCCTATTCGGAGCGCCAGGCATCAAGGTCAGTTGCTGCTCCTGCATATCCGGCAACCACTCACGATGCACACGCCTCCATCATAATCAGAAATTTCAGAAGGGGATCCATGCTTCCTCTCCGCCGTGGCGCAAGCTCAGGCCGCGGATGCTGCATACCTATACACACGCCTCTTGTGATGGGATGGCTGATTGGGTGGTTACCCTGATGCCCGGACCGACTTACCATCTCGTCCTATAATCCAGGAAGTACCTGTAGTCCCCACGCTGCCGCGTCCTCAGCTGGTCGAGGGACGTCATAATGGATCTGGCAAGGAGGCGAGTTTGCGTAGTTTCAGCTTACTTTTCTCCGCAGGCTACCAGGGACGATGTTGGTTAGAAAAAAAGAATTTTCAACTACTCGCTTGACAGGACCAACTTCGGAATGCCCATGGTTGCCATGAAGGAAGAAGAGCGCATCTGGATACATCCCCGAAGAGCGGAGAAGCCGAGGTATGCATGCATTGCGCCACACCGGCCGGAAGTCAATCGTCCACGCTGCGGCGCAGCAGCCCTGATCGACGTGGCGCACACCCTCTGACGAATGGAGCTAGGAGAAGGCTATTCTTGGGGCTTCTGCCGCCCGTCACCGCCAAAATTTTCCCCATTGTCAATATGCATGATTTGCCATGTCATTTTTGTTAGGGCAGGAAAGATGATAGCTGCATATCTAAGCCCGGAAAAAAAGACCACACTCCCTGGTACGGATTTGACAACCTAGTTTCTTTTTTTTACGAGGCGGGCCCATACCGATACCGCCACTGTGGTTCGGAGAGCTGGCAAAAAGCGTATTCAGTCGCGTGACAGGCTGAACGCCCCTACCTTACCCCTCCATACCCCCCCTCGCCCTGCCAGGTGGGCAGGCTGCTCATGCCTCTAAGGGTCATCCGGAGAGGCATAGGACGACTTCTTACTAGACCATTCACCATGGAGGCTCCCAAAGTCACCGTGGCCGCAGACCCCGACACGTCCGAGGGTAGACCAGTTCAGGGACCTTCGGCCCATGCGTCCAAGCAAGTGACGCTGAGCACACCCATTGGGGACATGTGGCCGAGGCCGTACATCATTGATGACGACCTCCGACGTGTCGCGCCGTACCACTTCACGTACAACACATGGTGCAAGGAGAGATGGCGTAACCGACCCTTGATTGAGATCTTCGAGTCTGAGTTCCGGGATCGGCCTCTTGAGTACTACAAGCGGGCGATGGAAAGCGGCTCCATCTATGTCAACGGCCACCCCGTCGGACCCGACTACATCGTCCGCAACGGCGACAAGATCTCCCACACGCTGCACCGTCACGAGCCGCCCGTGACGGCGGAGCCAATTGGCATCATCCATGAGGACGACGACATGATCGTCATCAACAAGCCTGCGGGCGTCCCCGTCCACCCCGCAGGCCGCTACAATTTTAACTCGGTGATTGAGATCATGAAGTCGGAGAGGGGGCCCGCCTTCACCCCGCATCCCTGCAACAGGCTGGACCGCCTGACCAGCGGCATCATGTTCATCGGCAAGACGCCCAAACGGGCCGAGGCGCTCGGCGTGCAGATCAAGTCGAGGACGGTGAGGAAGGAGTACCTCGCGCGCGTGACAGGCATGTTCCCCGACGGCGAGGTCGTCTGCGACCAGCCCATCCTGTCCATCTCGCCCAAGCTGGGCCTCAACCGCGTGCGCGCCAATGGCAAGTCGGCGCGGACCGTGTTCAAGAGGCTGGCGTACTATCCGCCTCGTGAGGAGCCGGAGCCGGCAGAGGCCAGCGCGGCCGAGAAGAGAGGGGGGATGCCCTGGAAGTCGAAGCAAGGGTACTCTATCGTGAGGTGTATGCCTGTCACGGGCCGTACGCATCAGCTGCGGGTGCACCTCCAGTATCTGGGGCACCCGATCCAGAACGACCCCATCTACGCCAACCAGCGGGTGTGGGGGTTCGACCTGGGCCAGAACGACGCCGACGGGACGGGCACTTCGGACGAGGACGTGATCACGCGGCTGTCGAAGATGGGCAAGGAGGAGGTGGCACAGGCGGTTGTCTACTACGACGAGATGGTGGACGACTACGAGAAGAGGCGGGCGGAGAAGATGACGGGCGAGCTGTGCGAGATCTGTGACACGCCGCTGTACTCCGACCCGGGCAGCCACGAACTGTCGCTGTGGCTTCACAGTCTCCGCTACGAGGATGCTGGCGGCGAGTGGGCATATCTCAGCCCCCTGCCCAAGTGGGCTCTGCCGCCAAAGGGCATGAGCGGGCCGACGACGGTCGGTGGGATGGAGGAGATGGTACATGTGGTAGAGGATGAGAACCCGGAGATCGCATCGGCGCCATAACAGCCAGTGGAAAAAAAAAGAAATGAAATGAAATGCCCAAGTAGATGACTTAGCCAAGACCCCCGCCGTGTAAGCTAGAGAAGATCGTGGGCCACGATGATCGTTGTTTTGGGAAACCCGTACGTCCTGGAAAGTGCCGGGACGGGACGAATGAAGGAAGAGCCAGAGCTGAAACAGGATAACGCTCTGGTTCCAGCAACACATACCGATCAATCTCAGCAAGATTGCTGTCGGGCGTGGGCCTTAGTCTATGGATCGTAGGTGTTAATTAGATCATTTAGATGGCACAGGCCATATGCTAGTCTAACCAGCACCCGTCAAAGAAAACAACTTAATAAGGCGTGAGGAGGGTCCTACTCAAGGGCGTCGAGCAGAGGGGAAGAGGAAAAAACCCACTGTGGGCTTTCTTGCCCACTTATATAACACAAAACCCGTTTTTTCAGCACAGCAGGGTTGCTCCCTTCTCATCGCAGGTTCTGTGGCAAAAGCAGATGACAGTGCCGAGGAATAGTTTCAGTGTACGCGGTCGGCAGTGAGGGAAAGCAGAGGGGTTGTGGGAATCTATCCGGGCCTTCTTTTTCCTGGTCGAGCTGGGGACATGCCTGGATGGCATTTGCTTGGGAGAGAGAGCGAAAGCAGGGAGGTTCCATCGCAGGACCTAGTGGCCCCCTCCCCACACTGCGCCGTTCTATCAAGAGTGTGTTTTGATTTTGATGTGTGGTTTAGCGGGCCATTGGGCAGGATCTAAGTGCTCTTTCGGAGGGTCGAGAGGCAGGGGACAAGTGCAATAAATGGGTATGGTATTATTAGAAGGTTGGGAGGGGACTGCAGGCAGTTTGTTAATTGGGCCAAGCAGGCTGGCTCTACGTATGCTGGCTCGCATGAAGATCAGCAGCGACTTGCAATGTCCATAAGTCTTGGCCCATATTTGCTTAAACGACTAACAAGATGCAAGATGCAATACGCGGTTACCCTTGGGTGAATCTAGGCGTTGCAAAAAAGAATCCTGAGTTGGGCTTGGGCCCCACGGGAATGAAACAGGAATGCAACATACAGACTAATGAGCCAGGACGATCTAAGCTGGACCGGTGAGAGCGAGCCAAAACACGGCAAAACAAGTCTTGTCGGTTGCTGGAGGTGTAATGACTAGGTAGCTAATGGTATAGAGTGGGTGTTGATTACCGTCTATCATGACCCTCTCTAGGTTTAAGGGAGGTGAGATGAGTGAGGTGTGTTGGCTTCGCAAGTAGTTCTCGATAGGGACACGAAGGAAATGGGATGTCTCCATCGAGCCAAAGTCATCGTGTAAGCGAGGAATGGGACTATTAAAAAAATTGATTGGCGATACCTCACCGCCTGTCATCTGAGCTGCCTCCTCTAACGGCCACGGGCTGGCAGGCTGTTAGGTAAAATGTCAAGCTCAGGGCATGAACGGGAATCAAAATTTTTGCTTAGCGAAGGTGAGTTGCAGATGAGCCGACGCAGCCGCTGCTGCAGGAAGCAGGGCGAGGGACTTGGCAGCACACGGACACTCCGGGATCATGCCCGTTGCAGCAAGCAAGGCCAGCTCAACAAGGCAATGGGATACGATGCTGCCCACGGAGGTGTTGATGACTTCTAGGGGAGATCCTGGCGTGAGTTGGTATGACGAAATCTTAGATGGACATCTCCTCCTTGCGCTAGGATCATTTTCTGAAGCGTGCAACCTGTTGAAGCCCAAATATGTGGAAATCGATCAATCGATGGGGCGGCGGAGTCGCTAATCATCGCGGCATAAGGCCAATCCATCCCCGGCGGCCAAGGCCAGGACAAGACGGAGAAAACAGAGGGGAAAAGCGGCTCCGTCAGGCGAAAAAGCAAATTACGTTCGTCGAAGGGCACTAATCTGATGCCATTCCCATCCTCGATGCTAGCCCTATTTGTTCTTTGCGACACCAGCAGGCCCGTGATGCTGTCATCGGCGCAACCGTTGTCGTAGCAGGCCCGGCCTTTGAAATGTAGAGAATGAGACACAGCGTGCGGCGGAAGCGGCAATGGCGGTCGGCTCTCCGACCGCCGGGCCAAGGGAGCCTGATACGGTAGGCAGGTATAGGTAGGGGAGTGGTATATCGGTTACGAGGATGTCTGTGTGTGCGTTTTGATGTGTGTGTGTGTGTGTGCATGTAGTCGAGGTAGTAGTAGGTAAGGTATGGAGGAACGTATGAAAGGTGCTCCGCTTCGGACAGCACGTCTGAGATATGATCAATGTCTCGGGTCTGCGCCGTCAAGGTATGAGACACCCAGACACCCAGGCACCATGTAGGCGTCCTGACAAATGGGAGGCAGCGGCGAGATTAGCCATTGCGTCGCTGTGCAGCAGCTTCATGCAATCGAATTTTTCTAGAGCACCACCCAAACAAGACCGACCCTCACACACACAAACAAGATGACGAGGAGCTCCGGGTCAGCTAGCGGGAGAAGGTGGATGTGGTTGTGGTGGTTGGTATTGGTCACGGCTGGTCGTGGTCGCCCAGAACAGAGTGAATCTGCGGCGATGGTGTGGGTGAAGATTTATCCTGCTGCCTAAGTGAAGGTGAGGAGAAGGGTGAGCCAGAGAGCGAGATGGTGGTTTGGCTAAGGCAGGCAGGTTGTTGACAATGGCAGGGACCATCATGGGTGATGGGAGATGGATGGGTGGATGGTTGATCGTCAGGTACCTCTGTGGATGCGACGCTGTATTGCGCTGCCGCAGTACCTAATGCAGCAGCGGAGCCGTACCCAGCACCTGCCTGGCAATCGCGCGCACCGCCCAGCAGGCCTCAGCGGCTGAGGTTGGGTCTGTTGCGGACGCTCCAGGTATGCAGGTAGGCTGTTAGGTGGAGAGGATCGCTGTTAGCGTTGCCTGCTGTGGCGGTCTACGGCGTGCACCCGCGCCATAGCAGGTACCTGAGCTCCATAATCCACGACCCTGAGTAGCGATGACTTCCACCGAGCCATGTGGGCGAACGGGGCTACCCTGCCTGCTCTCACCAATCAGCGCGTTTCGCTCGACCGAGAGACCCCGAGATCCGACCTGTCATTTTTTGGCATGGCATCGAATGAAGCAATTTGACTGATCTCATTGCTACTGTACATCCAGCCTGTGTCGGGTAAGTGACGCCTGTTTCCAAACCTTAATGCCCTCTATTCATTCGCTGATTGATCGCATTCGATCCTTGTCCTCGGAAAGAAGGCCGACCATCGCTTGCCATGCCAAACATCGATGCTGGCCATCCCCTTCGAGCTGCCCAAACCAGGTGAAGCCCCGAGAAGGTGCTCGGACATGCCTGGGTTTCAATTGCCTGAAATACGCACGCGCACAGTTTCGCCCACACAGGTAGAATCCCTTTCATAAGAAGAACCGTGCCCTTAGCAAACGGGCAGGCTCATAAACGGGCAAGAAAACGGGCACAGCGGAAACTGTTCTTGGCTTGCTGGCCTGAGCCGGATATAAGGCTGGCCTACGGTTCTAATAGTTGCATGTTTGTACGTACTCCAGACTCCCCCATATTGGGAATGAGCCTATGTGAAGCTGGGCTAGATAAGCTCGACACCGTTGTCGCGGATTGGAACTTGCCGCCGGATATGGACAGTCCGTCTCGGTGCCGGTCACGGCCAGCTCTGTGTCTTGAGCCAGCTCTGCTCACCGTCCTTGCCTAGGCTGTGTAGTGGAGGCCGCTTTCTAGAAGCCCGCAACCTGATTTTGCTGGCGACTCCACCAAGACGGGCTGGACCAGCTCTTCGGGACGGGGACGGTGCGGACAAGCACTTACTTTCGGAAATCTGGTTCAGGTCGATCCCCCCGTTTGGGTCCAGGCCTATTATCCAGTAGAGTCCCTTTGTTGATTGATTCTGCTGGGAGAGGATGATGGGGCTGGTGGTCGTTGTTTGATCAGGTCTGTACAAGCTGCACCCACCATGGCCACCATTGTTATCACGCAGCAGGAACGCAGGGGCAGGATGGGCGGACACAAGTTTACGCCTAGCAGCAGCAAGCAGCAAGTAGCAAGCCCGCGGATCGTCGATTATGCGGGCATTCGATAGCTGCTGGCAGGATCGCGAATACCTCCCAATCCAGCTTTGCAACTAGCCAACACCAATGTTTGCTTGTTGGGCACAGGAAGAGTGTAATTGGACAGGCCATGGAGTGCCAGATGCTCGATGCCGCCGGCAAGGATAGTGGCCACATGATTGGGACGACGCCACAAATTCCCATTGATGACTACTTGGAGCTACCTACCTAGGTATGTACGTATGGATGTAGATGTGTACCTCCTCTCTAGTCGAAGGCTGGGTGAGGGTTGGAGTGCCAGTGCGCTAACACCCAATGCAGGAAACAGTCAGGTAGCGTTGGTGCCGGCTGGGATCCGGAGTGGGCAAGAAACTGACTGGATTTCCCCCATAGGCATGGTGAATCGAGGAGCAGCGGAGTTACCAACAGAACAGCTTCCTATGCTAAGGCTAGGGCTGGTCGGACTTGGGCCGGCCGGGGAGGGGGGTGAGTACAAGCGAGAGCAACATGGGGGTGGTCCGGCATCTCCCAACAAACTACCTAGTATCAGAATGTACACACCCTCCGCTCCACACCCCTTGGCTTCTCCACCATCGACTCTGCAGCATACGCCACCACCATCCATCCACTCCTCTCGCACGCCCTCACGCCCTGTGTACTGAGATGCAGCTTCTGTCCCAACCTGGTCTCCTTGGCTTTACCGTGAGCCCAAGCCCAAGCAAGAGATGCATTACCTATATAGCATGCGTTATCCTCCACCCAACCCTCACCCCAGTCAACGTGCCAGATGAAGTTATAACAGCAGATCTTCCCATGCAAACAACTTGCCTTTGGATGACGACGAACTAGAACCTGCTCCGCATTGATAAACCCTGCAACCCTCGTCCAAGTCAAACATACATATACAAAGCGACCACCCCTTGGCCTTTGCCTTCTCGACCCTCGACCCTCGACCCACGTCTTGAAGCAA